TCTTACTAGGAAGGCTTCTAGCTTATCCCCATTACAAATAATACTTTCTGATGGTTTTATAGAAACATGATTTTTATCAATTTAAGGAAAAAAACAATTTATACCTATACTTTCAAATGTTTTTAATACAATTGCATTAATAGTTTTCCTTATGTTACACCATCCTTGCATGCCTGATATAAATCCCATTTGGTCATAATGTATTTGTGTAATCTTTGTAATATATTGTTGTAATCTTTTAGCTAATATTATACTTAGGATTTTTGCATCCATATTCATTAATGAAATTGGTCAATAGTTTCTCTGTTTTTACTGTTCCTGGTTTTAGGAATCTGTATTATATTTGTTTCATAAAAGGAGTTTGGTAAGATCCCTTCTTTGCCCATTATTCCAAATAATTTATTTAATATTGGAATTAGTTGATCTTTAAGTGTTTGATGGAGTTCACTTGTAAATTTGTCTGGTCCCAGTGCTTTTTCTTAGGAAGCTCATTTATGGCCTGTTCTTCTGCCTTTTAAAATTATGAGATACTATAAAAATCATCAATTATCAGTACAATTTATGTTTAAAATCCTTAGTTAATAAATCCTTAATCCAATTTTGAGAACTTATTGCTAAAATATACTCAAAGCCTGAATTTCCATGATAGATAAATTTTGGAAGCCGATCATACACATTTGTATGTAGTTCTTAGAGAAAAAGACTACTCCTGTTGCTTTCTCAAATTTTACTATTCCATTTATTTTGAAAACATTACATCATTTCCCCCTTAGGAGGATATCATCCCTACATTATAATTTGACTACAAATATAGGTTAAAACTGTAAGATATTCATACTTGCATCCTATTATAATAACTCAGAGATGTTCCAGTATCAATCATTTATTTAATAGATTTAGTATTGCACTTAGAAAACTTCTTGATTATAGAAATTTGCTATAAAAGAAAAAAGAGGGATATAGTTAAAACTGTCATATATCAGAACAGGAGGCCATCATGGGAGATACTTGAAGGGATGAATGGAAGTTTACTTACTGTTAGCTGTTGAAACAAAATAAAATGCAAATCTATGAGCTTTTAATCTCACTAAGATAGGCACTTACAGATATAAAGTATAAAAAGTAAAAATAAGCCTTTGTGATCTGTCAGGTTTCCACCCAAACAAATCATTTAAGATGTACTTCATTAGGAACAGGAAGGCCACTGACAGTAGCCAGAATGCTTTCAACCATATTTCCTATTATGAAATGCAGACTTTGATGAGTTGTGCTTCCAATATAAGGTGTCAAAGTAACATTCTTTAACTAAGGATGAGATCTGAAACACAAATGCATTGAAAAAATTATTCAGGTTTCACACTGATTTCTTTTAACATTATTATACTATAGTTTCTTTTTTGTTTTTTTACATTTGTAGGAACATAAATATTTGTAGGAGATTAAAAAAGAATACAAAAAAATTCCATTTGATTCATGGAGGAATAATAGAATCTTAGAACCAGACAAAACCTTAAAGATTCTCTAGTCTGATATTCTCATTTTACAGATGAGGGAGCTAGAGGCCCAAACTAAGGACATACAATACAATGGCAGAGCCATTGCTAGAACCCAGGACTAGTAGGAGTAAAGAGATACCGAGACCAAAAAGTGTGAGAAACATTGATCTAGTCCAATATCCTCATTTTACAGATGAGGAAGCTAGGTAGTCAATCTGGAAAGAGAAGACTAGATGGAGACACAAAATCTGACTTCAGACATTTGAAGAATACATAGATAGGATGATAGCTTTGGTTTGTTTTGCTCAAAATGGTGGACCTAGGACTACTATCTAGAAGTGACAAGAAGTTTTTTTATATTGAATCAAAATCTAACTGCTAGAATTTATCAGTAATAGATTGGAATGCCAGATAGGAGTACCAAACAATCTGTCACTGTAGGTATTCAAACACAGGCCATGTGAATAATTCTCAGTGATTTTATAGGAAGAATTCTACATTGGGTGGGAGAATAGATTAGAAGACCTCTAAAACCCTGTGAGTTTCCTGATCAAAAATAGCCCAAGATGCCCAAAGAAACTTCTAGAGACAAAGAATAAAATCCAGGAAAAAGGCACTGAAGAAAGACCTAAAACAAGGTAAAATAATTCAGACATATTATTTAGGTAAAGGGCAGCCAATTAAATTCAAATTAGATTTAAAAAAGCTTGGAGGCAGTGTGGTAAACAGGAAAAAGCATTGAATTTATAGTCAGAAAAACCTCTGTTCAACTATCAGCTCCAATTGGTGTCTTGTAAATCACAGGGACTTTAAAAATAAAAAGGATGGGAGAGAGAGAAAACAGTCTATGTATATTCAACAAGATAGATATTATAGATAGAGCAACAGTTCCCAAAGTGTGGTCTGTAGAAATTGTGTGATTCCCAACACCCTTGCAGAGGAGTCCACAAAGTCAAAACTGTTTTCATAAAACATTATTTGCCTATTAACATACTCCTCCCTTTTACAACTACTTATCTGGATGGGAAACTGGATAGGTAAAGAGGGATGGAAGTAACACTGTATATTAAGAAGATATACTTTTGAGGGAAAATTCAGGAATTGGAATGGGGAAGGAAGGAAGAAAAGCATAATGGAGAACATCTGACTGAAGGTCTATGGAGGGAAAAACAGAAGGAATTGTATCATTACTCTGTGAGATGGCTGGGAATGCAATCATGAGTTTCATTTAAAGAGGTACAGCTTCAGTTAAGTTGACAAGTTCGTTTTCTGGAAGTTTTATCTGAGATTCCCACTGTGATACAGAATCTTCATTCTCAAATGCTTTGGCTCACTGAGCAACCTTATAGCCAATCTTACCCATACCTGTGATTCCCAGAGTAGATCTGGTCATTTCTTGTCGACCAGTTGATAGAAAAATACTTAGTGTCAGGTGAAGCAACTACCTCATTTGCTAAAAGTCCAAGATGCAAAAGTGAGCCATGGAACTGTCTCCAAAACACTTCTAACATGTTTTAAAGACAAAGTAATGAAAGAACAAATTGTGATTTACATCTTGCTTTACAATCTCTGATAAAATGAGTTGTTCTGAGAAGTCTCATCCATTTCTACATGAAATAGAATAAAAGTTTCAGCAAAAAATAAACCATAACGTACTGGGTGTGGGTAATAGTTTTCTTCATAGTATAAACCAGAATATCCTGGCAAAAGGGTCACATTAGAATTTGTAACATTTATTCTAAACTAGCAATCTTCAGTCACAATAAGGCTGGGGGTCTTAACCTTGAGTCTGGGAACTTTTTTTTTAATTTAGATAATTATTTTTCAATAGAATTGGTTTCCTTTGCAATCCTGTGTGTTTTTATTTATACATTTAAAAACATTATTCTGAAAAGGGTTCTATAAACTTTACCAGACTATGAAATAAATTCAAGACTAAAGAAAAAAAGCTAAAAACCCATGCTTTACAGGGAGCTCGATACCCAAATTTGAGTTCTTTCATGTAGACATACAAAAAGAAATTGCTTTCCCCCCTATTCAATATTCACTGTGGCAGGATAAGAGGTGTCCTCTAGTAATACTTTAGCTAACATCAGAATATGCCCAGATGTGCTTGGGAACACTATTCATGTCCCCAGGATGCCTTTGGCTCAATTATTATATGCATGCCTTCTTAGTTGCTTTCCAAACTACTAGCATCTACCTAACTCCTGGAAGCATTCTATAATGATTTGGAAATTATTTGGACAAAAATATTGTAAAATGTATTCACTGTTCTGTGAAAATGAAAAGAATGTTAAAAACCACCACCACCTCACAATATAAGAAACTTTACAATTAACCGATCACCTTCAAATACATTGATCCTTAAAGCAACCCTATGAGGTAGGCAAGATAGGTAAGTAATATTTATTATTCCCATTTTAGAAATGAAGAAACTAAAACTAAGAAAAGGTTAAGTGCCTCACTTAAGATTACATAGCTGGTAAGTGGCAAAACTGGAACTAGTTTCTATAACATCTGGTTGTCATATTGGTTCTATAAATAAGTGAAATGCATAAGGGGGAGATGCCTGATGCCAAATAATAAAATATGTTCATGCATATTTATTCAAAATAGGTCATATCAGATTCTGGTGAAATTCTTCTCTTATTCTGAATAATATAAATCCCTAACATAAAATGGAAAACATTATCTAAGAATCAGGACAACTTAAAAAGCCTTATTTTCACTAATAAAGGCTATAGTTATGAATCATCATGAAATTAAATGGCCTAAAACGATCTTCCAGTATTCTCCAGGCTGATGCAGAAGTAAGGTCATTCCTTTATCTGCAGTGCTGTTAGGAACAACACGTGGAGTGTTGGCCAATTTCACGCCAAAGCTAGCAATTGGGTTCGGGTATAGATGATCTAGATCTACTCCTGAGTTTATGAAAATCAAAAAGAAAGCATTCAAGTACCAAGCAACCATAGCAGGATCACACAATACTTAGCAGTCACCACAAATTCTGGAGAGAAAAACATGAAATATGATATTCCAAAAGGCAGAAACTAACCACTTACAATTGAGAATAACCTATTTGGCCAGACTGAGTATATTTCTATGAAGAAAAATGAACCTTTAATAGAATAGAACATGTCTAAGATTCTTAATGAAAAAACTAGAGCTAAATAGAATCTTTGAAATAAAAATTCAGGAATCATGAGAAATATGGGTAAATTCATACAATTTTACAACTTGATAAAACTATAGGATGATAACATGTTTTTACATTCTAACAGGAAGAAAAGAAGCAAGCATCCTCTCAGGAAACCAATTTCTTTAAAAATCAAGGAGAAATTTAAATAAGATGAACAAAGGGCCTGGGAATGGTTTCATTCTCTTTTGATATACTTAACAGAAGAAGGAAATTATAATGGGAAGGGAAGAGGAAGAAAGAAAGAAAATGTATTATCTTACATAACAGGCATACATGAGATAAAGATAATAGAAAAAATATACCTCATTCTACCTCTCTCTCCCAGTGCATGATTCTTTCCGCTCAGCCACTGGACTGAAAATCTTACTCCTAGGTAAACAGTGCTCTCTTTACTGCTAAATAGTGGGCTCTAAACAATATGTAAAAGTAAATATAGTCACTTTTTAACAGTCAAAGGATAAGGGCATTCATTAATGAGACATTGTGTTATGCTGTCAAAACTTAAAAGAAAAAAATTATTCTTTCTGCTTAACCAAGTAATAATTTAGGTATTTACAAGTGATTGCAAGGATTATGTCTTATACTTTGGACTGCTTAAAGATTACCCTTTTTTCCCTACTTGCAAAAGGATAATTATAAAAAGAAAACATACATAACATACATACATACAGAACAACATAAATGAGAGAGCCAGTATGCCAATCTCTGTTCTACCTGTGGCACAATGGATCACTTAGAGCCTGAAAGTTCAGAGTAATAGTCCTTTTATTAAAAGCATATTTCAATGCCCCCAGGTAAAAGGAGTTCAGATAAAGGCCACCAGCAAGGCGGTTCCCTGAGTCAGGAGATCCCTGCCAAATACTAAAAACCACTTTTATATTCTTCTTGCACCAAAGACCCACAGAGTGGTCTTAGATCAGTTCACCTGGGAACAAAGTTAACATAAATTGCCTCAGGTCTACCTACCAGCATACTTGCTCATAACAGTGGCTGGCTGGTGTGGGCATATGAAAGATTAACACAAGCCTTTCCAGTTCCACCAGGATTCTGGCCTACAACTGCCATCATGGCACAGTGGATAGAGAGCTAACCTCAGGATTAGAAGACCAGACCTCAAGTGCTGCCTCTAATACCACAGTATACCATGTAACTCTATGTTTGGCAGAACATATTGTTCAACTGCTGCTAGAGGGCATTTCCACAATGGGAATTTCCCAATCAATCAACCAACAAATATTTATTAAGCACCTACAATGTGCCAAGCACTCTGCTAATCACTGGAGATACAAAAAGATGCAAAAGACAGTCTCTGACCTCAAGGAATTCATAATCATAATCTAATGGAGGAGACAACATGCAAACAAATAAGTATCAAGCAAGCTCTCTACAGGATAAATAGGAAATAATTAACAGTAACTAATATTAAGAGGGATTGAGAAGACTTCCTATTGAAGTTGGGATTTTAATGGGGACTTAAAAGCAGCCAGGGAAGTCAGTAGTTGGAGCAAAGGAGGGAAAGTATTCCAGTCATGGGAGATAGCCAGAGAGAATTTCCAGAGCCCAGAGTTGGAGTGTCTTGTTCATGGAACAATTTATAAGGAAGTATTACTGGAACAAAGAGCATGTATCAGGAATCCGGGATGGAAACGTGGGAGGAATCTGGAGAGGTATGAAGGGGTTAGTTTATGAAGGGATCTGAATGGGAAACAGAGCATTTTGAATTTGCTCTTGAAGGCAATAGGGACCATAGGTGTTTCTGGTAGGGGGTGGGGAAGGGGTGACATGATCAGACCTGTACATTAGGAAAATCACTTTAGTGGCTACATGGAGAGTGGATTGGAATAGAGAGAGATCTGAAGCAGGAAAGTCCACCCACAGGCTCTTGTAGTAGTGTGGGCTAAGAGGTTTGCACCGAGGGGTGGCAGTATTACCTATTGGAGAAATGTTGCAAAGGTGAGATTGGCAATAGTTTGAATAAGAGGGATGAGAGATGGTGAGGAGTCAAGGATGACAGTCTGAGAAACTGGGAGGATGGTGGTGCATGGGCTCTGGCAGGAAGGTGGCAGGGAGGGGAGAGGGATTAGTGGGAAAGATGAGTTCAGTTTTAGACTTGTTGAGTTTAAGATGCTTACTGCACACCCCATTCAAAATGTCTCAAAGGCAGTTGGAGATGCAAGATTAGAAGTCAGCAGAGAAATGAGGGCAGAATAGCTAGAGCTGAGAACTGTTAGCATAGAGATGGTAATTAAATCCACGGGAGCTGATGAGATCACAAAGTTAAGTAGTTTAGAGGGACATATTAGTTGGTTATACTGAAGTTGTGATGGCTTTATTACTGAGTTTAGCACATAATATGGTTGTTAGAAAATTAAATAAGTTGTTGATACAATAGGTTCAAATGTTTTTATTAGTGGTTTTTCATATTTGAAGGTTTACATATTATTACTTGTTTGGAAATACAAATGTTGTTGACCAAACTATATCACACAAGTATTAATCTTTTTATTGAAAAACAACCTAGAGTACAGAAAAGTGTTTCTAATAGCAAAACTACTTATTCAAAACATCTCAATCACAAAACAGACACTTAAAAGAGAGTCAGTTATGCTAAGTTAATATAATTATTCTCATTATACAATTGGGAGGGGTCCTCCAGAATATTCAAAGGGCAAAATGAGGGCCATGAGCTGCAGGGTGAATAAAAGAGAGGATGTTAAGCAGAAATAAGAATGGAAAAATACTGGCCTACTCTGCAATTTTGTTTAGAGGTCCACCTGAACTAGTCAATGCTTAACAAACATTTTTTCATTTCCTTCCACTTTTTGATTTTGTTGTTCCTTCCCTTATTCAGAAAGAGAATAAGAGACAAGACTACCAAAGATACATTACTTGTATTCGTGTGGTGTTAAATTCTGAAGGATTCTTGGGAATACCTATTTTTTGTTAGCTCTTCAAACATAATAAAATGAAAGTCTATGAGTTTTTAATTTCATGAAGAGAAGCACTAGCATACGTAAAGTATGCAACGTAAAAATAAGCCTTTGTTATTTAGTCTGTCAAGTTTTCATCATTCTGAACTTTCTACCCAAACAAATCATTTAAGATATACCTCATTAGGAATGGGAAGGCCACTGAGAGCAGCCAAAAGGCTTTCAACCATATTTTCCATCATGAGACGTCGACTTTGATGAGTTGCACTTCCAATATGAGGTGTTAAAATAACATTCTTTAACTTTAACAAAGGATGAGATCTGAAATACAAATGCATTGAAAAAATTATTCAGTTTTCATTCTTTTTTTAATTATTATACTGTAGTTTCACTTTTATATTTGACAGAAGATAAAAATTTGCAGGAGATTAAAAAAAATATAAGAAAATTCCCTTTGATTCATGGAAGAATAATAGAATTGTAGAACCAGATAGGACCTTAAAGATGAGGCAACTAGAGGCCCAAACTAAGGACACAGAATGAATTAATGAGAGAGCCAGTATTAGAACCCAGTACTCCTGGCTCCCAATACAGGACTCTGATACACCACATTGTCCGTCTTCAAAATTACCTCAAAAAAAAAAATAGAATACCAAGTGAAAACTAGGTATTATTTTAAAGAATTAAATGTAAGGGCCTGCATTGAGGTTCAAAATATCAACTACAAAAGACAAATTAAGTACATGTAGGTTGTCAAGAGTTCATAAGAAAAAACCTGAGCTTCCACTCCCAGTTCTAGTTGACCATAAGCTCAATAAGCCAACAATGTGATGTGGCTTTATATAATTTTTTTTTTAAAATGCTAGTATAATTATTGGCTGCATTCATAGAAATGTAGTGCTAGGTACTGGGAAATAATAGCCTTATCATACAGTACGTTGGTCACATTTCATATGCTCAATTCTGGCTGCCAAATTTTAAGAGAAACTTCAGCAAACCAAACTGTATCCAGAGAATGGTGACCAGTATGGTAAAGTCACCTCAAACCTATTACCTGAGGAAGAGTTAAAATTAATGCAGGTAATTAGCCTGGAGAAGAATAGACTAAATAGAGGCAGAAAATCTGACTTCAAATATTTATACTATTAATAGATGAAGTAATGCATTTGTTTTATGTTGTTAATGATGGCAAAGCTAAGACCAACAGATGGAAGTGACAAGTCTGTTAAATGTTAATCAGAGATGTAGAGTTTGAAGAGCTCAAACATGAGGTGTTAGCATTAATTATGTTACATTTAATAAAAGATGAGATCTGAAATACCCTGAACTGAAAAAAGCTATTCCAGTTTTATTGGTTTCTTTTAGAATTATTATCAAACTGGAGTTACGTGTTTAATACTAATACAAAGATAAAAAAGAATTCAAGAAAATTCCATTTGATTCATGGAAGAATCATCCCATCTTACAACCAGACAGGACCTGAAAGATTTTCCTATCCAGCAAGAAAACCTTCTGGGGGTTCTTGAGACTTGTTTGAGAGAAGGTCACAACTATTTGAATATTAAGGTGTTTATTTGTCTGTTAAAATACTCCTCCATTTTCCAACTCCATATATGTGAGGAGCAACCAAAAGAAAATATTGAATACAGAAAAAGACATAAAAATCCACCTCTCTGTTGATTAAGTTTGGAATTGCTGCTGTAATAAGTAATGTGGAGAATTGATAAAGGAGGTCTAAGAGAAAAAAATCCAACTCTCTTCTATTAAGTCAGACATTGAAGAGATTTGCAAAAATATGTAAAATAATGCCCCTCTTCTCACTAAATGTTTTGTTTTGGAAGACATAGTTATTTTTTATAAAAGTATGTTATTTGTGTTAACATGTCATGGGTTTATTATTATTTTTAAGTGAATTTAAAAACATTTTAGGGGCAGCTAGGTGGCGCAGTGAATAGAGCTCTGGCCTTGGAGTCAGGAGGACCTGAGTTCAAGTCCAACCTCAGACACTTAACACTTACTAGCTGTGTGACCCTGGGCAAGTCACGTAACCTCAATCGCCTCACCAAAAAGAAAAAAAATTTTAAATTTTTATCAGTTTTAATATCAAATACAGTAAAATATTAATATATATATATATATATATATATATATATATAAAACACCCAATAATTTTAAGCATGTAAAGGGGCACTGAGACCAAAAAGTTTGAGAAAACACTGATCTAGTCAAATATCCTCATGTTGCAGATGAGGAAACTAGCCAGTCAGCCTGGAGAAGAGAAGGCTAAATAGAGACATAAAATCTGAGTTCATAAATTTGAAGCATATATAGATGAAGTGATAGATTTGTTTTGCTAAAAATGGTAGAACAGGACCATTGGGAAGAAGTGACAGGGAGTTCCTTCTTATATTGAACCAAAATCTGCTTAAATATTAGAACTGTTCAACAATGGAATGGACTGACTCATAGGGGTACCAAACAATCTGTCACTGCAGATACTCAATTATAAGCTGGGCAAATAACTCTCAGTGATACTATAGGAAGAATTCCTATCTTGGGTGGGAGGTTGGATAGTCAAAAGTCAATGAACATTTATTAAATGCCTACGGTGTGCCAGGTACTCTGCTAAGTGCTGGGGATAAAAAGAGGAAAAAAAGAAAGTCCATGTCCTAAAGAAGTAATTATCTACTGGGGGAAGATAACAAACAAAAGAAAGGTAGAAAGTATGTTTGGGAGGGGGAGGGAAGGTACTTCATCTGAGGGCATGAAGGAGAAGTCAGAGAAGGCCCAAAGATGGGAGGCAAGGAGGACACCAGGATTAGAAGGCCTCTAAAACCCTGTGAGTCTTTGACTGAGACAGCAAGCAAAGAAAACTCTTATCCTCAAATATGGGCTGGAAGCTTTGCTTCTATTTTTGTCTAAAAATTTTTTCCAGGAACAGGTTGGGGTTTTTTTTGTTTGTTTTAATTTTTGTTTTTTACCTTGGTAGGGGCTCAGGGTAAGTCACATCCAATCCTGCAGTTTTAATAATTCCAGTTTGAAGAGCTTCCACTAGGGCATCTTGATCAACCAATTGACCTGAATTAATAGAACAGTATCTTTGTCACCATCATAATTAATCTTTGTTAGTGTGATAATTAGACTACATATAATATATATATATATATACATATATATATATATAAAGTATATATGTATGTAATAGAGAAGTAATGTCCACATTTAAACTTCTTTCAATAACTTTAAAGCTACATAGTTACTCCTGTTCTAACTGATCAAATGACAGGAACACATGAATATCAAATTACATAAAATCAAATGATTGTGATACAAAAATAAAAATGGAGCCAAGGAAACAATAAGTATGGCCATATAACATTTTTTCTTTCTTTCTTTTTTTAAAAGAGTAATAAAATTATTATTTCAATCATTTGTTGGGGTGGGAGGAGAGAGTAAAGGGATGGCTGAGTTTTGTTTTAAGTTCCCAAAGAGCAAAACTTTTACTTCTCCCAGCAGCTCATCCTTTTCTAGTAAGAAAGGATTCAGGCCAATACTTGGGGAGGAGGTTAAACGTCACAGGATGATTTACCTCAGATCACTGAAGACTATGCTGAGCTTCCTGGAGCTTTCAAGTTTTTAAAAAACTGTACTGTTCCTCTATAGGACAAAACATTGCACAGAATCTCTCTTAAGAATTTAACAGAATCAGTTATTAGTCTCTATGAGCTTAGTACACCAGCTATTGCTAATGTGAACACGGACCACTTATTTATATGCTGGAGGTAGCAATTCAGCAACAAACCACAATTCTTAGCATTCAGTCTTTCCAAAAAGAAAAAATCCACTGCTAGGACAGAGTAGACCAAATCTTCTGCTTCAAGCCCTTAACCAAAGGCTAATAATACCTTTTAAGTATCTTTTACATAAGTGTCACAGGACAGCAGCAGTCTCCACTTCCAAAAGACTTTTCCTTAGGCTACTGCCTCTCTCTATTCTTGGCCAGAAAGGAAACAGGGTTCCTGAACCAGTGTCTTGATTCTACAGTAGTAGTGTTCTCTAAGAAGAAACTGTTAGCTCCAGCAACTAAGATGGAAAATAGGAATGTTCTTTACCAAAGAAAAAAAAAGCACCAAACAAATGTTTATCTTGGATAAAATATGCAGAACAAAGTCTACTAGATTTTAATTATTTCCTTTGCCCCCTGCAATCTAGTTCTGTAGATCAGTAACTGGCTGTGATCGATTGTACTTTGAGAAGTTATTCAGATGAACTTTGGGACGTTACAGAATAGGTCTTTCTGCATTAGAAAGATTCAAGCTTTGCTACAAATATTTAAAGAAACAATCACTGCTTCCACAGGATGACATTGTTCCTATGTCAAGTGCAAGGTGGATGGGAAGAAAGAAAAGTCTCAGATACTTTCTCTACATGACAGTGGTTTACCAGGGAAAGCAATTTTGCTCATATTAAAAGGGACCTTTAGAACCCTGTAAGAGTCAACACATTCAGTTCCCTTGGTTTGCTGTTATGGGTTCGTGGAGGTTGTTTCTTTCCTTCCATCATGGGAAGGTCCATCTTAGGTGGCTTGAATGCTACTGGTCCTCTGCAATTCCAGTAGCCTGAACCCAAATGATCTCCATTGGGTGATGGCTTCTGAGTTCCTCTGTGGGACTGGACACTGAAACCCAAGTTGGATTTCTGAAGGGTTCTGAAAGGTCTAAAAAGGCTCCATTTTTCAGATGAGGGTTTGTTTCTATCTCTATTTAAAGAGTCTATGCTGCTGACATCGAGGCCAGGTAAGGAAGTAGAAGATCCATGAGTAAACCGGCTTCTAGGTTTTTGCTTGGGAGAAGGATAGGGTGTACTACTTGGGAGAAAACTGGGCTGAAGCAGTCAGTCTATCTTCTTTTGCCATTTCTCTATTTTGTAACTTCAATTTATGGACTGCCTCTGCCACATTGTGGTATTTGGTTTCTTCTGTGGTGAGGCCTTTATGGGGAGTGTATCCTGCATCTGGTCTGTTGTTCAAAGAGCTGGATGCTCTTGTGTCTGTTTTGTAATTAGAGAATTCATGATGACACATGTAGCCTTGGTCTTCACTGCTGGGGCATTGTTCATTTGGTCAATGGAAGCTGAGGGGGCTATGGAGAAGCTATTTTCTTCTTCCTCAGCCTTGGAAAGCTGTTGGTACTTCCAATCTGAGATGACCAGCTTTTTTCACAGAACCTTACTGCACATGTCAGATGAAGGTGGAGTCATCAGTGTGGGATCCTCCAGGACATCATCATAACTGAATGCCCAACTATGCATTCCAGTTGGCAAAGATATCTTGCCTAGAAGCCCACCGGTACTGTGCTCAATAGCAGGCACATCTGGCTCTCCGGATGCTGCCATGAAAGACTGTGATCCAGGTGTTTCTCTAGATAGATATCCAGAACTCTGATTCCCACAATGAAAGTTATGCAGATAGGACAAAGATGTCAAAAGGAAACATTCCTCAGCTAGTGATGAACTAGCAGAGTCCCAAGCAGATCTCATGCAGAGGCTTTACAAACAGCTGGGTTTGTGTGAGGAGGGTGGGGGGAAGCGATCCACAGCAGCCTAAGGCTCCACCACCAACAGGAAGCTGAGACTAACAAGGCTCCAGGCCCCTGTCACTCCCTACGCACCAAGCACTGGGCGAACCAAGGCCACAATGCTCGTAGCGCCAAGACCCAAACAGTGAAGTAGAGTGAAGCCAACTTTTTTCTTTCAATGCGAAAGGTGACTTTTTTATGACTCAGGAGCAACTGAACATTTAAAGCTTAGTTGAGAGGAAGAATGTTCTTGTGGAAGGAAGGTCAGCCTTACAAATAAGAATTGTTATTGTTGTTCAGTCCTTTTTCAGTCCTATCTGACTCTTTGTGACCCCATTTGGGGTCTTCTTGGCAAGGATACCAGAGTGGTTTGCCATCTCCTTCTCCAATTCATTTTACAAATGGGGAAACTGAAGCAAAAGCGTTAAGTGACTTCCTCTGGGTCACATAGCTAGTAAGTGTCTGAGGCCAGATTTGAACTCAGGAAGATGAGACCTCTTGACTCCAGGCCTAGCACTCTGTCCACTGTGCCACCTAGCTACCCCCAAATAAGAGACATCGGTTTTAATTCAGTTTCTGACACTTGCTATCCATGTGTCTATGGGCAAGTCACTCGGCCTTTAGTTTCCCCATCTACAAAATTGGGTTAATAACCCTAATACCCATTTTACAGGGTTGAGAGGATGAAATGAGATATTGTACACAAATCACTTCACAAAACAAATTGCTATACAAATGTAACCTACTGATTATGACAACTGAATATTATAGATTTAAAACTGGAAGGAGTGGATGTCAATGGTCATACACTCCAGCCACCTCCTTTTACAGATGTGGAAACTGATGGTCAAAGAGGTTGAGTGATTTGCCCAGGGTCAAACAACCTGGAAGTATCTGAGCCAGTATTTAAACCCAGGTCTTGCTTGACTCCAAGTCCATAAGATCATGATGCCTCTCATTTCATTTCAGGTTCAAAATGACATGTCCATGTCCCATCAAATAGCATTTAGGTGAGAAAGAAACTCTTCTCCTTTATGCTTAGAACTTCACAGAATTGCAGAAAGTTTTATGATGCTCTTTCTGAATATCAATGAGTATTTAGTAAAGTAGTCTCTAGAACTTGAGATTTATGTGTCCAGTGTTCAGTGCTATGCCTACAGAAGTACTAACTTTATCCTTTAATGCATCTTCCATGGGGAGTAGGTTTCTGCTTGCCTGAGATGGTCACCAAGGCACCAGGTGAAAATACTGATATCATTTAGAATGACAATGCTACATATTTTATATATAATGTATGTATTATATTATATATATTATTTATATATTTGTATATCATCTATATAATATTTAATTGCATAGATTATAGATTCATATATTCCCATTCTTTATTTATATGTTGAAAATATATTTATATATTCTTACTTTTCCAAAGCACTTTTACCTTTATTACTTAAACCTTGTGAGTTACAAATTCCAAATATTATCTTTATCATATATACATAAAGTAATTAAGGCACAAAGATTACTCAAGGCCATAGTTAATAACAAAGCCAGTCCTAGAGCTCTTGCATCCAAACTCCACTGCTTTCTGATCAGTAAACTACTACTGACATATACAATTACCACTGATTTGTCATGTCATTTCAACATCAACAGAACTTTATTTCTCTGTACTAAACTCTATTATGGTTCTCAGTTTCATAAATTCTATGTTCAACTCATGACTTGATTTTGAGGGGACATATGAATAATTATTATGTGTAGATATTTAAATAAGGTATTATAAAAATGTTAAAGAAGAGAAAGAATTTTGCTGAGAAAGTAATGACTAAACACTGAGAAGTATACGAGTAATCTTAAAAGATATTCAGTATGGTGTTCTTCCCCACAAAAGGTATTAAAAAAATCTGAATAAAAAAATCTTCTACTTGATTTATTCACAACTTGGTTTCAGAATATATTCCCAAAAAGTCAAGAACTCTTACAATTAGAAGGTAAATTTGAACTCTCTTGCTCACCAGTCTGGATTACTCTCTAGTCAAGAGAGCTGCAAAGGAAGGAAGTTGATAGAGAATGACAAATGTTTGAGATTTACTGCTGCATCATTTCAGTGAAGGAGAAAAACGTCATTGTGGTAGGCAAATCTTGTAGTATCTGTTACCTCGGCCAATGTTAACAAGAGAAGCGGTGGGTTTCATTAGTCCTAGTTCCCTCTTTCCAATCAACTTATGAGTCTGGGGTGTCAGACTGACGGCCAGCATTACAAAGTCTGATTGCTGCAGCAGCTCATCCAACTGTGCACAGTAATGGGCTCCAACTGCCTGTTCCTCTTCCACCTTCCTGTCAGAATTAACCAAGAAAAAGTAAAGTGAGTTCTCTAATCAGAGACAGCCCAAGATGCCCAAAGAAACCTCAAGTGACCAAGAACAAAATCAAGGGAAAAGTCACTGAAAAGGAACCTAAAACAAGGGGAAAATGATTTAGTCACATTATTTAATCTAAGGGCTGACAATTAAGTTGAGATTGGATAAATGAAGCGTGGAGGCAGTGTGTTACAGTGGGGAAAGCAACAGATTTACAGTCAGAAAAACTGTCTTCAAATCCTAGCTCCAATTGTCTTGTAAATCAAAGGGACTTTGAAATAAAAAGGATGGGAGAGGGAGAAAACAGCCTCTGCATATTCACCAAGGCAGATATCATAGAGTAATAGTTCTCAAAGTGTGCTTTGTAGAAACTGTGGGATTCCCAACACCCTTTTGTGGGGAAGGGTGGTCCAAAAAGTCAGAACTACTTTTTATAAGACATTATTTGCTTTTAAAATACTCCTCCCTTTTACAACTATATATCTGGGAGGAACAGGATAGGTAAAGAGGGATGGAAGTAATGCTGGATATTAAGAAGATATACTTTTGAGGGAAAATCCAGGAACTGAAATGGGAAAGGAAGAGAAGAATGATGGAGAACATCTGGCTGAAAGTCCACAGAGAAACAGGAGGAATTTTATTTTTACATTGCGATATGGCACTTAATGGAATCATTGATTTCATTCAGAGAGGCAAAGCTTCAACTTAAGTTTGGAAATTTATTTTTTGGAAGTTTTACCTGCGGTTCCTATTGTGATACAGAATCTTCATTTCAAATCCTTTGGCTCGCTGAGCAATCTTATAGCCAATATTGCCCATACCTATGATTCCCAGAGTAGATCCAGTCACTTCTTGGCCCATCCAGTTAATAGAAAAGTGCTTAGTGTCTGGTGAAGTAGCTATTTCATTCCCTAAAAGTCCAAGATGCACAAGTAAGCCATGAAATTGTCTCCACAAACATTTCTATTATACTTTTAAGACAAAGAAATGAAGGAACAAATTGTGATTTGCTTCCTGCCATATAATCTCTGATAAAATGAGTTGTTCTGAGAACTCATGCTCCAGAATACAACTCATCCATTTCTACCATGAAATAACACAAAAGTTTCAGCAAAAAATAAACCATCACATATTGGGAACAGGTAATAGTCTTCCTCATGGTATAAACCAGAATATCCTGGCAAAAAAACTTACATTATAACATTTATTCCAAACTAGCAATCTTCTGTCAAAAAAAAGGCTGGGCTCTTAACCATGGGTCTGGGAACTTGCTTTAAAATTTTTTTGATAACAATATTACAGTAGAATTGATTTTCTTTTGTGATCCAATGTATTTTAATTTGTTCATTTAAAAACATTATTCTGAGAAGGGTTACTTACATAAGCTTCATAAGACATTATCTAGGAATCAGGACAATATGAAAAGGATTTATATTTTTAAATATCAGTTTGAATATTTTTTCATTATTTTTATAAATAAAGTCTTCCTAGTTATCAATTACCATGAAATTAAATGGCTTAAAAGGTCATTTTACCTTCTAATATTCTCCGGGCTGATGCCAGAAGTAGGGCCATTCCCATATCTGCAGTGCTGTTAGTAACAGCATGTGGAGTGTTGGCCAATTTCACACCAAAGCTGGCAATCATGTTCAGGTCCAGATGATCCAGGCCTGCTCCTGGATTTACAATAATCTTCAAGGTAGGTAAGCTCTGCAGGAGCTCCTGGTCAATATGTGGTTTCCCTCCCCATATATATATTGCTTGTATCTTTTGACTGAGATGTGTTTTGTTTTCAAGAAATTCTTGCATGGTGATAAGATTAAAATGTTTCTTAAGATCTTCTACATGATCTTCATTCACACCATAGGGTCCTTCAAAACTACTTATCAAAACACAAGGTAGCTCTTGATTTTGCATGACCTGTGGAGAAAAAATTAAGGGTTTCTGTAATAAAGGAAAAAAATCTTTAGGAATGTAGGGTATGTTCTTTAGTTAATCACTGACTTCCTGAATTACAAAAAAATGGAATATGATTGTTTGGAGGTTTTAGCAAAATTTCTAGCTCACAGGTCCTAGAGCTCATACTACGCTGAGTATACACGTCTCTGCTTTCTCCCACCTTGGCCTTTGTCTATTCTAAAATTAGCCTTACCATCAAAATGAAGAATATTTTCATTATGTTCTTAATTTACTAAATAATAGTCTGTGTTACTGATGCTTAAAGGTCAGTAAATAGAACATTTTATATCTTAAATAGCAATTTTTTTTAAAGTGTAGTGAGTGAATCATTTCTGCCTTTGTCTCACTGGCCCTTGATGGAAAAACTATTTTTTTCTATAGATTTTTTTTATAAGATTCAGTTGAGGAGATAAAGCATAACAATTACTGAGTTGAAAATCTCTTCAGTTTATAATAAATAGGGTATACAACAATCAGAATATATATAAAATTAACTTACATATAATATAAACAAATGTTTACTTGTGAATCCTTAATGAAAAGCTCACCTTTATTTTTTTCCTCTGACTTCAGAATTAGTGGTCTATCCAGTGTCCTATATTGTTTTCATGGTACTAACACAGACAGCTGTGTCTGTCAGTGTAGATAACACAAGTTATGGAATGAACATTTGATTTTTGAAATTAAATTTTGAAAGCCAAAATTTTGCACTTTGAATACCAAGCTGACTCTGAATTGTTTGAGACAGCATCACCACAACACACCATGAAACTGCAACAAAGCAAGAGCTTAACAAAATTGAAAGCAAGAAAAGTTCCTATCATATTGATAAATAAAATGAAGAGGTGCTTAAAACTTTTAAAAAAACTAATTTAGAAAATAAACACTAGTGTGATTTAAAAAAAAGAAAACCAAATTGTTTGAATCAAAGTTGAATAAAGAGAATTCATGACAAATGAAGATGAAATAAACTATCAAAAACTATTTCATCCAATTCAATGGCAAAAAAATGATAACCGAGAAAATGGATGAATATAAAAACAAAATATGCAGATTAACATAACAAGATATAGATTTAGATTATTTACAAAACTCAAGTCAGAAAAAAATTAAATGTGCCATTAATTAAGTCACAAAGACAAATCTACAGGCAGAACCAGATGGATTTCCAAGTGAATTCTATCAAACATTCAAGGAGCAATCAATTCCACTATTACATAAACTATTTACAGAAATGGGGCCTTGGAGGAAAGGATCCCTTCCAGACTATATGATACAAATATGGTATTGACAACTAAACTAGATAGAGACAAAGCAGACAAAAAAACCCCTATACACCAATAAATCTAAGATCACCAAGATAAAATGTTAAGTGAAATATTGGCGAGGAGTCCACAGTGATTTCCCAAAAGATAAGTCATCAAAGGTTATTAACACAGAGTTTTCAAAGGATGAATTGCAAAGTATTTACAACCAGAAGAAAGAATTCTCCAGATTGCTAATAATAAGAGAAATACAAACCAAACAACCTCAAGGAAATTATTAATAAGAATAAAGTCTCCATATACACCAAAATATTTATAGCAACACTTTCTGTGATAGAAAAGAAATAGAAAGAAAGTAGAAGGCCATTGATTGGGGATGGCCAAACAAATTTTGGTACGTGTATATAATGAAATATTACTGTGCTGTAAGAAATAATATATGTGATAAATACAGAGAAGCATGGAAAGATCAACCTGAACTAATGCAGAATGACATAAGCTAAGCCAAGAAAATGACATACACAATATCTATGACAATGTAAATGGAAAGAACAACCACATACCAAAAAACAAAAAATTGAATGTAACAAAATTATAAAGATCAAGCATAACTTGAATGAAGAGGTATGATGATATCCCCCAATTCACATGTTAGTTGAAATGGAAGGTCCATAGGTGTTACATATTACATGTCTTCAGAATTTTTTCAATGTATTTATCAGTTATGTTGATTTTTTTTCCCACTCTATAAAGATATACTATTTCTTATATGGAATGACTGACTGCTTGGGAGGAGAAAGGTAAGGATACTAGGGATAACTGTGATGATGTAACAAACAGAACACATTAATTAAAACTTTAAAAAAAAGAGAGAGACTCAATTAACATACCAAAATGACTGTAAGCTATGACCTGGTTTGGATTTATGCTAAGAATACATGGTTGGTTCAGTATAACAAAAAGTATAAGCATAACAGACAATATTAATAACAAAAACACATTATTATACCAATAGAATCTGTAAAATCCAACATCAATTTAAGGATAAAAATCCTTAAAAAACATAGAAATAAATGGATCTATCCTTAATATGATAAGTAGTATTTATGAAAAACCCAGAGGCAGCATTATATGTAATGGAAAAAGGTAGAAAGAAGCCTTTCAAATAAAATCAGGTATAACACAAAGATATCCATTATCGTCATTATTGCTTAACACAGGACTAGAAATCCTAGCCAAAAAAAGTCAAGAAAAATGAATCAAGGAGATACACACTCGCAAAGAGAACTATTGCTTTCTGCAGATGATATTATGAAGCCCCCAAGAGCTGACTAAAAATTAATTGAAACAGGGGCAGCTAGGTGGCAAAGTGGCTAGAGCACCCACCCTGAAGTCAGGAGGACCTGAGTTCAAATCCGAACTCAGATCAAACACTTGACACTTCCTACCTGTGTGACCCTGGGCAAGTCACTTAACCCTAATTGCCTAAAAAAAAAAATTACACATAAAAACTATATGAATACAACTACAAAATATCCTTCGGGGAGAAAAAAGTAGCCTTAAGTACCTGAAAAAATAACTAACAGTTCACAGATAAGGTGAGTCAACATAATAAAAATATTACCTAAGTCCACTTGTTTATTCAGTGCCATACTAATCAAGTTTTTTAAAGATCACGTTACAGAACTAGAAAAATTATGAAATTCATCTAGAGCAGCAATCAGCAAACTACCTTCCAGACAGATCTGTCCCACTACATATTTTTGTATGATCAGTGAGCTAAGAATGGTTTTTAAATTTTTAAATAAAGTTTTATAATATTTTTAAAATGCAAAAGCTATTCTTAGCTCTACAAAAATAGGTAAAGTGGATTTTGACTTTGGGTTATAGTTTGCTGACCCCTGAGCTAAGGGAACAAAAGATTAAGAATCTCAACGGAAATTAAGAAAAGGATGGGAAGTAATAGAGCCTAACAGTACCAATTTCAAACTATACTAAAAAGCATTAATCAGCAAAAAGATTTGAGAGTGGTTAGAAAATAAAGAAGTTGAATATAAAATATAATACAAATATATATGTAAGGAGGCTGAAAATTAAAAAAAGGAAAATAGAGTAGATATACAACTTACTGAGGCAAAACAATACAATAGAATGATATTCTATAAAGCCGAGTTACTTGATAAGTACTGATTTAACAACAACTGCTGGAAGGAATGGACAGCAGTTTAGGAGATATTGAGTATGGCCCATCAGCAGATCTCATTTCCAAGACAAATAAGGAACTGATTCAATTTTATAAGAACAAAAGCCAATTGATAACAAACAACAATTGATAAATGGTTAAAATTGATGAATGGTTAAAAAATATGAATAGGCAGTTCTCAAGAGAAGAAATCCAATCAATTACAAAAAAATAATGCTCCAAATCATTACAAATCAGAGATATGCAAATTAAAGCAACTTCAAGGTTCAACCTCACACCAATCAGATTGATAATGTTGACCAAAAAACATGAGAATGACAATTGTTAGAAGGACTTCAGGAAAACAGGCATATTCATTCACTCTTCATAGAACTGTGAATTAATTGGTCTAGCCACTTTGGAAAACAATTTGTATCTATGGCTAACTAAACCCTCTAATCTAGGAATAACACAAATAGGCCCATACTCCAAAGGAATCAAAGAAAGAGGAAAAGGACCCATTTATTCAAAAATGTCTATTGCAGCTCTTTTTGTCCCCAGCAGACGATTGGTCAAAAGATAGGGACAGGAAGTTCTCAAAAGAAGAAAAGTAAGCTATGAATAACTATATGAAAAAAAAGCTCAAAATTACTACTACTAAGGTTAATCCATAATTAAGCTTATATCTAAAGAGACAAAAGAGGGAAAGAATCTATCTATATGATGTTCATAGCAGTAGTTTTTTATTGTAGCAAAGAACTAGAAACTAAGGAATGCCCACCAATTGAAGAATAGCTTAACAAATTATGGCTTAAAAATTTAGTGTAACATTATTGCACCATAAAAAATAATGAAAAAAATTGTTTTAGCATAACCTTGGAAGATTTGTATGAACTGACTCAGAGTGAAGTGAATGGAAAAATGAGAAGAATTTATACAATAACAATAATATTATAAAGAAAAACAACTTTGAAAGACTTAAGAACTGTGACCAATAAAACAATCAACAATAAATTCAAAGGACTGATGATGAAGCATGTTACCCTCCTCCTGAAAACAGGTGATACCCTCTAGATACCAAATAAGGTATAACTAAAGACATTTTTAGCTAAAGTCAACAACAATTTGTTTATTTCACCATACTTATTTATTACAAGAGTCATTGAGTACTTTTTAAGTTGAGGGAAAGATTGAAGGGGAAAAATTCAAATAAGTTAACTAATAAAAGAAAAAGAATTAAAGCAGGTCATTGAAATATTTTTTTAAGACACAGAAGAGAACAGAAATAAGGAAGGGCAGTAGAGTCAGAGGCAGTCAGGACAGCTTTGAAAATATGAGATAAAGAGCATATTTAAAAAGAAAAGGAAGCTATATCAATTCACAGTTCTATGTATAACCATCTCTTTCTGTTTTACTATATTTACAGAAATGTCCAACTTATTTAGTGTTTGTCAACTTCACAAAAACAATTTTAAAAAAAAGTAAACACCATTAAATTAAAAACCAAAGAAGATTGTCAGTAGTTTCCATTTCTGGTTTGTTCAGTTTTTTTTTTTTATCATTAATACCTTTTGGTCATTTATTTGTTGGAGAATAACTCTTGGTCTTACATGTCTTAGATACTTAGGCTTTACCAAAGATGTTTGATGCAAAAACTTCATTTTTATGAATAACATTTTCTCCCTTATTATAGCTGCACAGATTTGGTTCATGTAAAAGCTTTTCCATTTTAATGTAAGACAAAATACTTTATTATGCAATGACCAACTGTGAATGACTTGGCTCTTCTCAGCAACAAAACAATCTAAGACAATTTCAAAGAATTCATGATGAAAAAAGCTATCCACCTCCAGAGAAAGAACTGATGGGGAGTCTGAATGTAGATTGAAGCATATTATTTTTCACTTTCTTTTTTTGCCTGCGCTTTCTTTCACAACATGACTAATACAGAAATATGTTTTGCATGACTGTGCATATATCACCTACATCAAATTACTTACTCTCTCAGAGAGGGGAAAAGGGAGGAAGAGAGGGAGAGAATTGAACTCAAAATTTTTAAAAATAGATGTTAAAAATTAATTTTATATGTAACAGAAAAAGATAAAATATTAATCAGAAAATGTTCATATTTTGTTTTATGTTTACCTCTATTCCTTGTTTGGTTAACGAGTCCAGTAGGTACTTTACTCCAAATTCATCCCTAATCCTATCAGCTTTCAGCATTTTTCAATCTGCCTAATGCCTCACTATAGGACTGAAAGTGTCTCTGCTAGGCAAACAATGCTCTTGCTCAGTCTTTTCAGTCATGTTTTACTCTTCCTGACCCCATTTGGGGTTTTCATGGCAAATATACTGGAGTGGTTTGCCATTTCCTTCTACAAAACAATGTTCTCTTAACTGCTGCTAAATAATAGGCTTTAGACAAATAACATGCAAAAGAAAATACTTTCACTTTTTAAAGATCAAATGATAAGGACAACAGTGAGACAGTATATTATACTGTTAAAATCCACACTTCGAAATTAGAAGAAAAAAAAGAACTTGTACTTATTCTTTTGGCCTAACCAAATGATAATTTAGGTATTTACAGCATGGGATACTGATAATTATAACTTGCACTTTGGACTGCTTAGAGATTAACCTTTTTTTCTTATTTGTAAAATGATTTAAGAATTAAAGAAAGAAAATTACCTTTTGTTGAAATTGTCTTCAGGAACTTCAGAATTCTAAAAGATATTATTTACTTGATGACGCTGCAAAATTTCTGTCCAAAGAGGAAAATAAACTAGGGGAAAAAAAACAAGAGAAGAGTTTTATATTCAAGGAGGAGTTTCCCAGTAATGACTGTGAGAGAGAGGGATTTGAAATTATAACCTGTCAGGTGGTAAAAAGACCGTTATCAAATAATATTACTATTTCATTTAGTGAATGAAACATATTTTTTATTACCAACTACTAAGCCAGTCTTGAATCATGCAAAAAAATAAGCCATCACCTTTACTTAGCTGCTTTTTAAAGAAAAATGAAATTCTAGGATTCTGAGATACAAATGAAAAGACACTGCTTGAAATTATAGTAACTCTAACCTAAATGGCCTAAACAAGCTGATAAAATATATGAAATTAATGAAAGTGACATCAATGCTGGTACTCTTTCTGAGAGAACTCCAAAACAACTACCTCAAATCTCACATATCATGGATCCCCTTCATCATTTCTTACATCACTTTTATTATTCCATAACATCCACATAACTTATTCAGCTATTCCCTGATTGGTGGGCATCCCCTCAGTTTCCAATTCTTTTTCTCCACAAAACAGAGCTACTTCAAATATTTTTACACATATGGGTTTTTTCTTCTTTCTCTGATATCTTTGGAATATGTATCTAGTGGCTGGGTCCAAGGGAAAGGACAATTTCATGTTTTTGAAGAACCTACTGTTTTCAAAATACCACATCCCAGTAACACTGTTGCCCTGACCAGATGTCCTCATATGACCTACACTCTTCCCACTGATAGTAGGAGTACCTTTAATGGAGGAGGAGGCCCCAAGTTTATCAGGAAAATGTTTTATTGCATCTTTGTTCACTGATATTACTTTATTAAATTCCTTTCCTTATGTGCCCCAAAATGGTAAAAGGATATTCTGTATCATGAACCCGAAACTGCAGGAGGGCTAGAGATGGAGTGAGGTGCTACATTCTTCCAAATCCAAGTCTGGAATTGTGTCTTGCTGCAAAGTGGGCATAGTCAGACAGTTAACAAGCCTTTATTAACATTTGATATGTGTCAAACCCTGTGTGAAGTACTGGGGACTTTTAAGGAACTTCCATTCTAATGGGGGAACCAGGTACATAAAAGATATATCCAGAAATAGAGGGGTGGTAATTTCAGAGAGGAAGTCATTAGTGAACTAGCTAGTGAAATAGAGTGCTGGTTCTGGAATCAGCAAGACTTATTCTTGTGAGTTAAAATCCTGTTTGAGACACTTACTAGCTGTGTGACTCTTGGCAGGTAATTTACCCGTTTGCCTCAGTTTCCTCATCTCTAAAATGAACTGGAGAAGGAAACAGCAAACTACTCCAGTATCTTTGCCAAGAAAATCCTAAATAGGGTGATATGACTGAACAACAACAATAACAACAACATATGGGGGAAACACCTTTTCAAAAATTAGTATTTGAGCTGGATATTAAAGGAAGCCAGGGAAACTAAGAGGCAGATGGGTGTGGGGAAAGCATTGTGGGTATGGGGTACAGCTAGTGCCATGCAAAGGCAGGTAAAGGACACTAGAGATAGTGTCATTTTCAAGGGGTTGCAAGTAGGCCAGTGCTGCTGGATTGTAGACAGGCTAGAGGGGAGAAAACTCAAAGAAGTTGGGAAAGACAGAAGAAGTCACTTTGTGAAGTGCCCAGCAGAGAACTGGGCATTTGATCCTGGAGTTCACTGGATGGTGGGGTGTGATATGGTTAGATTAATACATTAGAAAAATCATCTTGGCACCTGTAGTCAGAAGAGACTTGGGTTTAAATTATGTCTCTGACACTTAGCAGCCGGTAGAACAATCACAAGTCTTTTGAACCTCAGTTTGTGTGTTGTAAAATAAAGATAATGATACCTACCTCACAGGATCAGTGACAAATGAGATGTTTCAAGTCCTGTCTTTTCCACCTCCCCAACACCTTGCGTCTATTCTCTTCTCTCCAGTAACATGGCCTATTTGGCCCTCAGTACCTATGTTGAAAGTGGTCATCAGAAGGGGCTACCCTCACTGACCCCATGGTTGCAGCAGGTCTTGTGATATCTCTGGAAACTTGTGGCACCTGGAGTCCATTATTCTGACCAGATGTCAATTGCTTCTCACCCTTTGGCTGTTTTGCAAAACAACTTAACTCCTCCCTGTTGCTGTAGCTCCAAAGTATTCCTCCCTGTTCAAGTGAACTTAAATCCCACCCCTTCTGCTCTATTTGGGCACTCCTGTACTCTGGTGCTGTGTGAGGTCCCAAATTGCCAATCCCTCGACTTGATGAAAGATCCTACTTTGATAGTCCTCTTCATTTCAGAATGACACTCCTACCTACCTAGACTGTGATTGTACTAGCCTCAAAATTGATCTTCCTGCTTGCAGGCTCTCCCTTTCCCAAACAATCCCCTACAGAGCTGCCAAAATAATCTTTGTAAAGCAGCAGTCTGACCAGGTCACTTCCCTGCTCTCCAGATGCAATTATCTCTGTGGTAAAATACGAATTCCCCAGCTTGGCATTTAAAGCCTTTAACAGTGTGGCTTGAGCCCACTTTCTCCAGACTCATTTCCCACACTCCACTTTACCCACTCTATTATCCAGTCAAATTATCCTATTTGATAGCCTCCAAACTCTGCAATCTATCTCCTGACTCCACGACTTTACATAGGTTGCCCTTCCTCCCCACTCCTGGACTGCATTTCTTCACTTTTCTGTCTTAAAAACCTTCAAGCTCCAACTCAGGTGCTTTCTATTTTGAGAAGCCTTTTGTGATCACCCTGGTTAATGGTTTTTCCCTGCTCAAATTAGACTGCACCTACTTATCAGTGTAAATGTTGACTGTATCCTTCCTCTTTCTCAGTAGAAGGAAAGCTCCTTGAGAGCAAAGACTGTTTTTTTATGTCTATATCTCTTGAGGTTTGTATAGTATCTTGATCATAGTAAGTACTTAATAAATGCTTTGACTCAATGCCTAGCATAGTGCTTAGCATACTATAATAGGTACTTAATGGTTTGTTTGGTTTTTTTATTGCTTGTGCACCTGTACATTTTAAAATGCTCTCTACATATTGAAAAACAGCATGGCATATTAGACAGCGAGCTGGCCTTAGAGTCAGAAACTGGATGGAGGAGAGAGAATGCACATTTATACAGCACTCCCTATGTTCCAGGCACAGGGCAGCTACGTAGCTTAGTGGATAGACTTCTGGCCTGGAGTCTGAAGATTGATCTTCCTGAGTTCAGGTCTGGCCTCAGACACTTGTTAGCTGTGTGATCCTGGGCAAGTCACTTAACCTTCTTTGCCTCAGTTTGTCAGCGGTAAAGTGAGCTGGTGAAGGAAATGACAAACTACTCCAGTAATCTTTGCAAAGAAAACCCAAAGTGGGGTCTAGATGAGTCAGACTCAATTAAATGACAGAACAATAGCAACAAGAAAACTGTGCAAGGCACTATGCTAAGTGCTTTTTTTTTTTAAACAATTATCTCATTTGATCCTTACAACAATCCTGGGAGGTGCTATTGCTACCATCATTTTATAGTCATATAATTGAAAACTGACACCTTACTTTATTTAATATTACTTCTTAATTATTGATTGAGAATTGTATCTAATCAAAGTATCAATACTTATGGATCAGAGTTGAACTTGATTATATAGGCCTCTGTGGTAGAGTTTGTAAGAGTTTAACTTCCTTATTCCTATGGACTACAGGTTAACCACAAAGACTCACAGCTTGTAAGTTTTTGGAAGGGAGGAAGGGAAAAGGGAAGACAAGTCAACGTCATCATAGGATGTTTGCCCACCACTAGAGTTTCCAGAAGATGAGAGTCAAACCTGTATTTTTCCCTTTTGTCCTGGGTAATAGAAATCTCCTCTCTGAGTGAAGCCAAACCTAAGCCTACCCTTCATCTTCATGTTAAACTAATCACAGTCTTAGTTTAGTTTTCATCACTGGTACCTTAGGTAACCAACTGCATTAAAGAGTTGTTCTCCCGTCAGAGAGGTCCTTGACCTTTGAGAGGCCTTGGAGCTCACTTATTGGCAATTGCTTGCCTTGCTAATAAATTGATCATGCTCTGAACTTTGTGCCTCAGTTTCTCTTTATTTTTTACTGTGAAACACTTAAGCGAACTGAGACAGAGATTAAGTGACTTGCTCAGCACCTGTTTTCAAGTCCTGCGTCTGAGAGGTACCACCTGTGTGTCCCTAGATGAGTCCTTAAACTCTTAGTGCTCTAAGTCAGAGGTATCAAATAGAAAAGTGGGCCACTAAACCATACATAATGATAAGGATACCTGCAGCTGCATATTGACTGAAGAACCACATATTTATTTCCTTTTCATTAATCCAACAACACCTTACAATCTAACAGGAATTACATTTTAAAGTAATTCAAGACACACACAGGAGAGCTGTTAGAGAACTCCTTAGAAACAAAATTGCAGACTGTACTAATTTGCACTGGTAGAAAGAATTTCCTTACCCTAGAGTTTCCTATATAAGTCATGCTCCAGGCATTGTCCTAAGTCCTGAGAGTACAAAGAAAGGCAAAAGACAGCCTAAAGGGGAAGACAACATGCAAACAATTAGGTACATAACAGATATAAACAGGATAAAATGGAGGTAATCTCACAAGAAAGGTACTAGCATTGAGGAAGATTGGGGCAACTTTTTTGCAAAAGGTAGGATTTGAGTCTTAAAGGAGGTCAAGAAAGCCAAGAGGCAAAAACAAGAAAAAACTTTCCAGGAGGAGGGAAGAGACAATGGAAAAAAGCAGAGTTGGGAATTAAAGTGTCTTATTTGAAGAATATCAAGGAACTGTGTCAGTAGACGCAAAATACATGGAAGAGAGTATGGTGTAAGAAGACCTGAAAGGTAGCAAAGAACCAGATTATGAAGGGCATTTTATATTTGATTCTGGGAGTTATTGGAATTTATTGAGTAAAAGGGTGATGTAGTCAGTCAGAGTTATCCTTTAGGAAGACCATTTTTGTCAGCTAAGCGGAGGATGGAATGGAGTGGGAAGTGACTTGGGACAG